GCGGGGGTTGTCCGCGGTGGGTCTGCCTTATTGGGGCCTCAGGGAAAGACTGGAGGCTGCATAGGCTTTGAGAAGCCCGGAGGGGGCCGAATAATGCCCTGAGGAGGCCTAGGGGGACCCTGAGGGGGCCGAGAGAAGCCCTGGATGGGCTGAGAAAGGCCCTGACGGGGCCGTTGATAGAGAGCCGGGAATGAGCGGTCATTGACCGGCGGTGGAGCTTGCCTACTGGGGCGAGGTTGAGGTGCGCAGGGACAGCTTCTGTAGTTAGCCGGGTGGCCTGTTTGTTTACACAGGACACATGCGGGTGGCGATTCGGCATCTTTGGGCCGAGGGCACTCTGGTGTTGTGGGGTTCAAGGCACTTAACGCACCTGGGTGGGGCGGAGCAGTTGGCCGCCGCATGGCCATATAGCTGGCAGCGGTGGCACTGCGCCGGGAATCCGCGCCTATGTGGGGGCTCAACCTTCACTCTCGACAGGCCACACATTGTGCGTACCTCCCGGAAGATGTCTTTTGCCTCCGGCACGTTGGTTAGGATGACAAGGGCTAGATTGAACCTCTTGCCCGTTCTACTGTGCATTTTGTGCACGGCTTCTACGGGGAACCCTTGGGACTTAAGGTCCTCAAGGATTTCCTCGTTGGAGAATTCAAAGGGAATGCCTCGGATGACGGCCCTGACTTTACGCTCTTCCGGAAGAGCGTACGTGTGATACGAAACTCGTTCGGCTGTGAATAGCCTGGTGAGTTGACGGAAGTCCTCGATCGAGTTGGGGATGATTTTAATAGCCTCCCCGAGGTTGATGGCATGGTCGTATTTGATGCCGGCGTCGTAACAGGTTTTCGATAGTTGAGTAAATCTTGCCTTGTCTCTTAGGAAGACAGGGGGCGGGACTTGCTTCTTGGCAAGGACTGGAGCACATTGAGAGGCTGGTTTGGTCGAAGTTGGGATGTCTAGTGACAAGAGTGGGATCGCGGCAGCGGCGGGGGCTGCGGGGGCAGAGGTGGCAGCGGGGGCTGCGGAGGTTGTAGGAGCGGCAGGGGCCGCTGAGATAGGGGGGTGCGTTTTATCGCGGCGCGCTTACCGTTGCGCTTGGAATTCACCGTGGTGAATGTAGACTCCCCGGTTCCGTCGGAGTCACAGGATTCCGATGAGCCGGTGCCTGAATTGGTGGCGGGCCTCTTCCGGGAGGCCGGCGCAGAGGACTCGGAGCATGCGTACTCCATCTCTAGGGGGGCAAAAGAGTTCCTTGTTTCGTGGTATGTCGCGATTACGGGCGGCGGTTGGAGTGCCTTAGGGGCAGTGGGAGGAGCCTGGGCGGCGATGGTGGCGATGGCGGCGAGGACCGTCTCATCGAGGTTTATACCATAATGGTTTATGACGGCGGTGATGGAATTAGCTACGTTATCTGTGGCTATTTTGGGGCAGTTGATCTATTAGTATACTATTAGTAAGGATTGGTTGTGGGACGGGTCCCTGTTCTCGGTAGAACAGGGACTTGAATTCGAGACGTACTACGAGACAATATACACGTATAATAATAATGCAAGAAAAACAAAGAATAACAAGAAAAATAATAAAAATCAACAATACAGTATAACAGTAAAAATAACAATAAAGATAACAGTAAATAACAATAACAAGCGGAGGTCAGTCAAACCTCCCCGCCTGAGGACAGGGGGGCAAGAACTGTTAGCGGTGAAAGACTCACCGGTGCGTCGGCGCTGTACAGCGCGAGCAGGACAGCGGAGGCGCGAGAGCGAGAAAACACTACTGTACAAGGACGAGAGCGCGGACTACCTGGATGCGACCGCTCGAGAGCGATGACACAGGCGATGCCCATATTTCATCCAGATCGACCCTTTTATACCCTTTTTAGATGGTGTAACTAGCGTCCTTACTAACGAGCATTTGACAGTGTTTATTTTTGACGCTCTATAATGATAAAAGTTTTAATGATTTCATGATTTTTTATTAATAATGTAAAGCTATTCAAATACCCATTTCAAACATACCAATATTTATATAAATATAATTCGTTTCTAGCCATTACAGCCATTTTTCGCACAAACTCAGAGAGGTGCGATTTTTGTGACGCTGAGTGTAGATTGACTTGGCTCTCGCATGAAAACACAATGTATCTCACAAGTAATTAGATTGTTTAGTGCGATTGCCAAGTTTATTTATTTATTTAAAACAAAATATTTTTAACTCAAGTTATGATCACTATGTTAGGTTAGGTAATTACGTAATAACTTAAAACAGAAGGACCTTTAAGTAGGGACTGAATAAATTAACCGACTTGGTATTACATGGATCTCACAACTTTTTACGGTAGAAGAACTGAGTTGCGAGACTTGTTTTTCTTTACAAGTTATGTTTTTGATGGCATCTCATTACTTTTTGTAGATAGTCTTACTTTTTTCCTTTCCGGTACCTTCTACTTCTTGAATACTAACAACTTACCTATCTACACCTATTATACACATACAGGTACACTGATTCATTCACTGCAAATGTAACTTTGTAATGAAATAATACTAGTTTTTACGGAATTTATCGCGTATATTTAACTTTTTAAATACCCGACGTTTCGAACGCTTTACAGCACTCATGGTCACGGGCGGGACTCACGGGGACCAGATTACAGGTTAAATGTAAATTACAAAAAAGTCTTACTGGGTTTCTTCTCTGGACAGAAGCTTTTTCCCGAACCATTGAAAAAACATGTGTTTTATTGCGTTTTATTCATTAACTAAAACCAACAATACCCTTGGTTAAGTTTTAATATTGTGTCAGGATAAAATTACTATTATTATGGTTTTTAAAAATAAGTCTTAAGTCTTGATCATTCATTATTTCAAAAAAAAAAAAAAAAAAGAAACTTGAGATATCTGTCAATTATGTGCAAAGAATTTAGTCCCTCAATATGTTTAGTAGTGTGTGCATTACAGAGACGTTTGTTTATCCTTCCGCTCCTCCCTGCTTGTCACCTGTATTCAGTGGTGCGTAACCAATATTAGTCTCAACCAAAATCAATATTACTACACTAGATTTGGGTTGTGATATGATAGGAGAGGATAAGTGAGCTTTAGAGAGAATGGGAGAAGATAATAGTGAGCGTGAGAGGATTGAATACGATGGGTGAGGATATGAAAGGAGAAGATTGGAGATAATAAGAGTAACGGTAGTGGATGGGACAGCAAATAAGACGAAAGGAGAACTTGGGGAGGAGATGATGAGAGAGGATGGGCGTGATGAGATGTTGGGAGAGAATGGGTGATAATAGGTAGGCATGGGAGAAATTGGAAGTAAGAGAATGGCACAGGATGGGTGACGATAGGAGAGAACGGGAGAGGATAGGAGATTATATGAGAGGATGGGAGTTGTTGGGACAGGTACTCTTGAGTATTCGGCTGCTTCATTGGTTTGGTTTAGTTGGTAGTTTCTGCCAAGAGAAGCCTGGAGTAGAAAGAAAGAAAGAAAGAAAGAAACATTTATAATAAATAGTAGGAAGTCGGCAGTGTTTTAACACTGCTGCTTTTTAAGCTGTTGGTTCTGTGCCTAATTTCTCTTTCATAGAGTTGGATTACAGTCACATTGAACAATGAGAGTGAGAAAATAGCGAGAACATCTATGCTTGTGCACACACTGAAACTATAATTTTGTCACAAATGTAAAATTTTCCTTATTTTCATTGATGTTATCTGTCTAGACTGGAATTTGGTCTGGGGGATATTATTATAGTCTAAGCTGTATACCGCACGGTTGGCTGTATGAGTGGGGCTGTAAGTTTGTTAGTCATACAAAATATAATTACTTGTTAAATAATAAATTATATTAAACATATAATTTAATATATTATACGCTATATTTTTTTTAATAGAATATGGGTGACCAATAAGCACCTGATTGATAACAATGTTGGATAAGAATCAAAATGTAGGTGCGTTGTCACTCCTGAGGACTAAGATGGCATGCCTTGTTTCCAGTAAAAAAGGATTTCTGGTTCTATAGATTGACCATTCATAACACAGCAGCAATAAGGTGTTATTTTACGTGTTGTGTATTTCTGTGTCTATTTTTCTGGTCGTACCCGTGTTAGTAGTGGTGTAAAAATATACTCTACCCCATATCGTCTCGAGCATGTCGTAAGAGTTGTGAGAGGGAAAATTAAATGGGAGATGAGCAGTAGCATCTTCGTCATAACAACTACAAAATAATAAAAAATGCAGTTGTCAAACTACTTGCCAAGCGTGCTATGGCTAAATCCTCTTATGAGGCAATCTATACGGGAGGCCTATATTCAACAGTGGACTTTACAGCTAACCATTACTTTTACAGGCTGTAAAAGTAACGGTTAGCTCTCTACAGCGATGTTTGCTGTATTAAGGTGATACCTCGAAAATTTGGTGGTTTTATTATTTAACATATTTTTTTTAAGTTTTATAGATTACAAACCAAAGTTTGGTATATGATTTTTAACTATATGACCTTGGATTTCATAAAAGGAAAACACGTTATCATGAAATTTTCTTGATAGAAAAAATATGCAAAGTAGGCTCTGATTATAATTACATTTCTCCATGACATCACAATATATGTATTTACGAATAATTTCATGGAATTACTTTTAAGGCATAGTAAATAATCATATCTAAGTTCTCATAAACCAATTTTTTAATCCATAACGAAAGTTTTGTTAGTATAAATAAAAATGTTGTTTGGCGCTTACTTATTTTTTTTCCGAGCACTTACTTGGTATGGATATCTCTTTGTACTATGAAGTCATTGCATCACTTTCATTTTGACACTCCTGCCGTCGTCCGTTAGCTTTACCTACCGACAAAGGAATAAGCCACGCCCACACTTCGATTCATTTTCAAGGTATCCTCTAAAGTGGGGTTGTAAGTTCGTTGGTCACTTAAGTTGAACAAAAACGAAACCTGTTAAGTGTAGTACATAGCCGTTATATTGTGGTGAGTGTAAGAACGCGCTTGCAGAAAGAGGAGATGGAGCTGCGGGCGGCGATGCGGTCGCGAGCGTCAACGCGACGCGCTCGGCGCGGTGGAGGCGGAGGCGGCGCAGGGGGTGGCGGCGCGCGGGCAGCGGCGCGCGACGACTCCGAGGACGAGGGCGGCGTCTCCCTCGCCGCCATCAAGAACAAGTACAAGGCCGGACAGAAAGGTGACCGCACACTTTTATATCATAAATTTTTTTTATTTTTCATTGAACTTACGTTCTATAAGTGAAACCAAACCACTGGTTTCAAGGATAACAGTGTTTACACTAACATGTTTATGTATATACGTATGTATATGTGTATCATATTTTTTTAATGTCTAATATATTATTTATATGTTATTTTATTGCATGTATTGATATTATATTAGGTATATTTATATTGCACCACCTATCTAGTATTCACTGTTTTATTCTTTTACACCTTTGGTTGTCTGGAAGAGATCGTTATTTAGCGATAAGGCCGCCAAATTGTTCATGTAATCTGGTCTTTGTTATGTTCTTTGTAAATTTGTTTGTGGTGTACAATAAAGTATATTCATTCATTCATTCATATCAGTCGCAATTCTACTACAGGTCAGTGCAGTCGGTTCATAACGATATGGCGCCTCTAATGCCGAACCGATACAATATTTTCATGTCGTAAACATACCTACATACTGCGTGAAAATAATTCTAAATGGCGCGTCAACTTAAACGCTCCGATACCGTTTTAGTCCACGAGTTCCTGGCCTTTGTTCTATAAAAATTGGACTTCATTGACCATTGGTGTCTGGAGACGAGATCATCCAAGCGAAAAAGGTGTAAGCAGATTTGGCCATGATCCAAATCCATCTTATCACACGTCCGACGAATCTGAACGAGCGGCAACAAAGCTGAGGAATGAAGTCACTATGTTGCGCAATATAATTGCATCATCTGCGAATTCACCGCCGCCCCGTCGCAGAATGTAAATATATAACAAAAGTTAGTAAGAATTACTTCGCCCATATTCGCTCAATAAAATATTTAATAATTATGTGTCTTACCTAGTTTGAGACCGCAGAGTGAGGATGCCTTGTGTAGAAACACGAAACATTTTATGTTATTTAGCAGATATCGGCGAAGTAATTCTGACCGACTTTAATATAATGGATTTCCGCAAAGAAATGCCTGATTCTATTAATTATCGTAAATATGACATGCGGTAACTATAATAGTAGTCATATTTCACTGATGATTGCAACTTCGTCACGCGATACTGCCTGTCAGCGGGTTGATGGTGACTGTGAAACTAGGGCGACCTTGGTCGTCGTTGCATCACCACCTCGGCTCTTGACTGAACCCATAAGTACTCCTGCTGCCCAAGCTAACCTCACTATGAGGGAAAACGTTTACGGATGTTACCTGGAAATCTTCACAACCGGGCACCCTCTTGTGGTCGAATACGACAGAATGAGGATATAAAATCAGTTCCCGTGGTGACTCGAAACAATAATGATAATGACGGGTTTACTTTTGTTGAGAAGAGACGTCGGTCGAGACCCGTCTGTAACCAGCGTGGGACCGCCATAAAAACTCATGTACAACTCTGTTGTGGAGCTCACCATACAGCTCTACATTTTCCGTTTGAACAAAAGTCTTACATTTCGTAGAAGAACGAAACTAATGCCGCATTGAGGATCCAATCTCATAACATTTGTAGCGTCTAGAGTCTAATAGGGATATTTTTAGGTTAAGGTAAATTGCTATGGACCAATGTTCATAATTTTTAAGTTCTTGATGCCTGACATAATGTTTTTAAAATGTATAATATAATATCTTTATTTCACGCATCAAGAAATTAAAAATTAAGAATATTAGTGTAATATATCATCGTCAATATCATCGTTAGAACCGTTCACAAGTTATAGTCACAGGATATACTTACTCTAAGTTATGCCAAAATACACGGGCATGTGAAACCTGCATCAATCGACTTCCTGCATATCTTACTAGGTTGTATGAAACTGCCCCTCTAGAAAGATTCTTCCCCATCGGTTGTCAAGCTATAAGGTTGGCGCATTTCCACTTAAGCTAACTCAATATAATTTACAACACTGAATACTCGGTTTTAAGCCCTAAAAGTTGGGAAACGCCTTTGATGTAGGCGATGCAGCTCTGCCCGCATATGTGTATCTATACTGTATGCTAGGAATAAAATAATTTTGGATATTATAATTATTTATTGACATTATGTTACATACTTATAAGTTAAAACCATTTATTGAACAAGATCATTTTTATTATTACAAGATAAAATACAGAAGAGAGCATGGCTGGATTTACTAGCAACAAAGGCTGGTAATTCTAGCGGTACGAATGATGATATTGAAAGAAAAAAGGCAGTCTTTAGACATCTAAATAAGAGAGTAAAAGAAGTAGTTGAAAGGAAAAAGCAAGAAAGAACGGATAAGAATGATAGAAGAATATCGGATAACTTCCAGGCAAATATTAAAATGTTCTGGAAACTCGTAAGAACTGCCAGGGGACATTCAAAACAGCCTATAATGAATGCTATAAGAGATGAGAATGGCTATATTCTGAATGATGAAGTTTTGAGTTTAAAGAGTTGGGAGGAATATTTTAAAGCGTTTTTATGAGTGAGGGGACAACGTATAAAATAAATGAAGTAGAAACTCCGAAAGAAGAGGAAAGAGGTAGCGAGATAAGTGTAGATGAAATAATGAAAGCAATGAAAAGCATGAAAGCGGGTAAGGCTGCCGGATATGATAGAGTTTAATGCTCTATCTATTGATTATGCAAGCAAGACGCATCCTTATTTCTACATTAAAAAAAAACATTTTCTCCTTTGAACATATTCATGATTATTGTTATGGGATTGGATTATCGTTATGTAATCACGTGTATTCTATTACCTTCCGATCGAAAGAGTGGAATGTCCTGGATTGTTTAATAACTTCTTGATGAACTCGGATTGTTATCCTTAAATAAAAATTAATATTCTAAGGTATAAGACTAATATTTTTTTCTTTCAGCTACTGCTGGAGCGGCGATATATTCGTCTGAATCTGACGGCTCAGACGTGGAGACGCGTCGGGCACGAAGGCTGGACCGCGCGAAAGCGCTCAAAGATTCCGACTCCGAGGGCAGCGAGGGCAATGCGGGCTCGACGCAGCACAGCCAAAGCGGCAGTGCCTCGGGGAGCGGAAGTGAATAGGCAGTGTTGCGCATGGACTTTCATATTCGATAGTGTTGTCTGGTTATCAATGTCTAAGATATATCAATATCTGTAAAGTTGCTAGTGTTGAGGCGTTGTATTGGATAAGTGAAGGTTGTTTGTTCAATTAATCATTCATTCACACCATATCATATTCATGAGTGTCAGATGAATGTTCTATGTTGAATGACATTCATATCACAATCCTTTACCCTATCATCAAGTTGCTTTTTATGTATTTCCAATATCCAATACATCGTTTTACACATGCTGTATCTCGTGTGAAGAGAATTTTGTAAATATTGTAAACAATGACGATTTAACGTGAGTGATTGTTTCATGAATGATGTTATTGTAATAAACATGTATGTGACATATATTGTTTTTATTTTGCTGATATACCAATGTGAAAAATAACTTGAATATACAATGATACTACATACTACCCGTGCAGTTAAAGAATGGGATTGATAATGGCGGTGCCTCACACACACCCGGTCGGTTGAGCCGTAGTAGCTCAGATAGTTAGCGCTCACTGTAAATTGCACAGTACGCGAGCAAACCGGGTTCGATCCCCGCTGGCACCAATAAAATTGTTAATTGCAATTTTAAGTGCTAATTTACCACGTGCTCGGCGGTGAAGGAAAACATCGTGAGGAAACCTGCATGTCTGAGAAATAAGAAAAAAAAATTTCGAAGACTTGTGAAGTCCGCCAACACGCATTGGGGCAGCGTGGTGGACACTTCCTTGCCCTAATACCCTCTCAGAAATGAGAGGAGGCCTGTGCCCAGCAGTGGGACGTATATAGGCTGTAACTTTACTTTACTTATATGTACAATATGTAACGTAATTAACGCACACCCTCAGACACTCTAATTAATATATATGTTATAATCATAATACATACACTGAAATTTAGTTAAACATTTTTATGCACCGATTATTTATCAAATTAGTTATACTAATTCCGGAAGAATGTTGTGGTCACAGTACAAATCTACGAACGCAAAGACTTTAACTTGCTTGAAATAAAGTTCATTTTTCTTTACTTTTATTGAATACCAGAATTAGTAATAATACAAATAAAACTGCACTCTTTAAAAGTCTTATTGCCTTAAGTTACGATCCATTTCAGTTTGTTTTGAATGTACAGATTAAGTGTGACTGTAATTTACGTAGTTTTAATTATTTTTGGGATAAAAAATTAGCCATATTAAAAATGATAGGAATCGATTCAGTAAACGATTCTGAACAAACTACTTTCTTAAAGTGCTTTAATTATGTTACATGTTGTATATATATATATATATATATATATATATATACATACATAACACTCACGCCTGTCACCCAGAGGGGTAGGCAGAGACTACAGACTTCCATTTGGCACGATCCTGACACACCTCTCTCGCTTCCTTCACATCCATACACCTACGCATGCATGTTCGTCGGTTAAGGGTACTCCTAATTTGGCCCGTTTTCAATAAATCGCCAATTTGGTCGATAAATTTTCGCCTAGGACGTCCCTTTCCGACTCTGCCATTCACTTCTGCAACATAAATTTTCTTTGTCACTCTTTCCTCATCCATTCTTTCCACATGACCAAACCACCGAAGCATTCCTTTCTTAATCCTGGTCACAACATCATCTTGCAAACCACACTCTTCTCTTATCACACAATTTTGCACCCTGTCATTCAGATTCAGCCCTAACATACTCCTTAACGACCGCATTTCTACTGCGTTTATTCTACTCTCGTGCTTCTTCTGCCATACCCAACTTTCACTACCATACGTTAAAGTAGGGACCAACACAGCATTGTGAATTGCCATACGTGCCTTTTTTGACACATTCTGACTCTTCACAATAGAGTGCAGGGCTCCATTTACTCTGTTTCCTGCGTTCACTCGTCGTTCTATATCCTTATCATATCTCCCATCCCTGCTAAATACGCAACCCAAATATACAAACTGATCTACTTGCTCGATCAACTCCCCTTCTATTCTTATTTCACATATTGTTTTACTTTCATCTCTTTCAAAAACCATAATTTTTGTCTTACTTGCGTTCACTTTCATACCCCTTTCTTTTAATGATCTGTTCATTAATGTAACCATCATTTGCAACTCAGCCGCCGACGACGCAAGAATAACTTGATCATCGGCGTACAAAAGGCATTTGATGGTTAACTCACCCATTCTTAATCCGTATATCCGTATATGTATACATATATATATATATATATATATATATATATATATATATATATATATATATATATATATATATATATATATTTTTTATTTATTTATTTATTTAATGACCTTTACAGAAAAAAACATTACAGAACAGTTCATATCTTCGCCAAACTGTAAAGACAGTTTGTTGGCGAATAAATGCACTCTTATATTCTATTACGAAATTAAATTAAATAAGTACCCAACCCACGTAATATTACAAACAACTAAAAAAATTTTAAAAGATGAACACAATAAATTCCAATATCTATAGTATCAAATACAAATACAACACCCCACCCACATAACATTGCAACAAAATAAAAATTGTAAATATAACCCGGATATATTTTTTTTTTTTTTCAAGTATTACAAACAAATAATATTTTTCTAAATGGTCATACATCTAACATTTTATCCAAAAAATATTTCCCAAGTTTCTTTTTAATTTTTAATTTGCAATTAGGTCTATCTTGCCTTAGCCAATCTATTTCATTAAGAAGCTTTGGTATTAAATATTTTGTACATCTTTTACCATAGTAGTTTTTAACACTAGGCTGAAATAATTTCCCTTCTCTAACTTTTCTGGTTCTATATTTATTATCCAATTTTTCACTATGATTATTTTTATTAATGTTTTCCAGAAGTAATAGCATGTTAACTTTGTGTTCTACCGGTAAAATTTTACAAATAGAGAATAACTTAACATAATCTTTCTTACAATTTTCTTTAACTTTTTCATTTACAAGATGTTTTAGAAATCTTGTCTGTAGATTTTTAATGTCCTTTAAATAGGAAGAAAAAGTACGACCATACACACCAAGTCCATAGGTTATGAGGCAATCCACCAAAGCATAATATAGAAGATACATAGTTTTTTTGTTCAAGATATATTTTAAATAATAAAATTTACATAATACAGCCGACAACCTTGCACATACATCAGATATTTGAGGTTTCCAATTAAAGTTTTTATCAATAATCAAGCCTAAATATTTAAATCTCTCAACAAATTCAATTTCTTTACATTTACAATTAATTTTATTATTATGCAAGCACTCAAAACCGTGGCCTATAATAGCTATCTCATTTAATTTGGTCTTTTTTGCTGCAGCATTATATGGAGAGTGTATATGCATGCATTTTGTTTTATTAAAATTTAAAATTATACCATTATCATGAGCCCATTTTGTTATATTCTCAAAATCAATTTGTATATTATTTTGCAATTCTTTTGTTTCTTTAGAGGCAAATAGCAAGCACATGTCATCCGCATACATATACACTTGACAGTTTTTTATTACATTGGATACACTGTTTACATGCATAATATAACCCACAGGACCGTAAACAGAACCGGTCGGTACACCCAAGTTAATATTGGCCTCCTCTCCCACAACGCCATCCACTACAGTGCGAAGCGTTCTATTAGATAGATAGTTACGGAAAAAGTTATTTGTAGGACCCCTGATTCCACACTCCTCCATCGCTTGCAATAACATATTATGGTCCAAAGTATCAAAGGCTTTTTTATAATCAATAAACAAAACCATAACCTGCTTTCCTTCATTTAAGTATTCATTAACTGTATCCGAAAATAGTGCAAGTGCGGAGGCTGTACTGCGATTTTTTCTAAATCCATGTTGTGCCTCTGATAATATATTATGCTGTTCCAAAAAGTCAGTTATTTGTCCTACAACCACCTTTTCAACAATCTTATTGACCGATGATAAAATGGCAATTGGCCTATAATTACTGTACTCTAAATGACTACCATGTTTAAATATGGGGCGAATGATTGATTTCTTTAATAAATCAGGATAAACACCTTTCGACAGGCACATATTAACAAAATGGGCCAGTATTGGACTTATTTTTTTCTTTACTAACTTTAAATCTTTCAGTCTAATTCCGTCCAATCCAGGCGCTTTTTTATGGTGCATTTTATCAATTATTTTTTCTATATTACATGATTTCACTCTCTTATACCTAAAAGACACCTCGCTCCCTTTAACATACATATTTCTATCTAAAAAATTTAAATTACAATTATGCTTGATGTCTAATATTTCTTTGGTGAATGTGTTAGAAAATTTTGTGCAAATGTTATGCAAGGTATCATATCTACCTAAGTACCTCTTAATTACTAAATCCAAATCTGCCTTAGTTTTTCCTAACCAAGTACTAATATTTGACCATATTTTTCTGCTATCACCATTGCAATCTTTTATTTGTTTTTGCCTGTACTTGTTTTTGGCATCATGTATAATTTTATTTACTCTATTTCTAAATCTCGAATATTCTAAACGCTTACTCATATTTTTTGGAGATGATTTCCACGCTCGAAATGAAGAATCCCTTTTTAATATTAAATTAATCAACTTACCATCTACCCATGGTTGCGTTAGTCGTTTACTGCTTTCTACAATATAAACTTTACTTTCATTATAAATATTTTCAAACACTAAACGTAACTTATCATACAATAACATTGGACAAGATAAATTTAAAAGCTGGGACCAATCATAATCGTCCAACTTTACCCTACACAATTTATCACTAATCACTTGTTTATATTTATTTACCGTTTTTACCATATTCAACTCACTTTGCGATCCTAAGACACCTAATGTAATGCCAACAATATTATGATCAGATACATGACATTCGATTACAAAGGCAACAGATGTATCAGCCGACTTCGCTCGCACCCACACATGGTCAATGCATGACTGCTCGCGCCGTTCGTCGACTACCGCTTC